AGCAGCAGCAGCAGCTCCTGCTGCTGCTGCTGCTGCTGCTGCTAGACCTATGACTCCTGGAGGAGCCGCCTTAGGGCGGCGCCTCCTGTGAACTTGCGGCTGCTCCAGAAGTCGTTGAAGCCCTCTTGCTGGTGCTGCTGCTGCTCACACACACAACGCACAGCACTTGGAAGACTCGCTGCTGCTGCTGCTGCTGCTGCTGCTGCTGCTGCTGCTGCTGCTGCACGCAGCAAAAGGCGAATGCTTACCCCGTCCTCTACTAGCCGGTAGCAGTCCTTCAGCAGCTCTTGCAGCTCTTCTGGTTTGGGGGCCTTGCGGGCCCGCTTGGTTCTGCTTTGTTGCTTCTCCTCCCCAGCAGCAGCAGCAGCAGCTGTTGCTGCTGTTGCAGCTGTTGCTGCTGGCGCAGCAAGCTCGATGCCTTCCATTTGGTCCGCTGCAGCGCCGATGGGAGGTTCCAGCGTCGGCTGAAGCAGCAACTGCTGCTCCTGCTGCTGCTGCTGCTGCCGCTCTCTATCTGTAACCTTTATGAACTCTTTGATGGCATTCGGCAGCTCTGCAGCAGCAGCAGCAGCAGCAGCAGCAGATGAAGATGCATTTGTCGTCCCTTCCACAGTGCATCTAATCCAAGCTGCAAAGGCGTCTTCTTGGTCTTCCTCCAATCCTGCATCTGCTGCTGCTGCTGCTGCCTCTGCTGCTTCTGCTGCTCCTCCTGCTGCAGCAGGCGCTTCAGCCGCGCCAGCTGCTGCGCTTGCTGCTGCAGCTGCAGCACCTTCCGCTGAGGTCCCTGCTTCAGCTTCGGCAGCTGCTGCAGCCGACGCGTGTGCTGCTGCTGGAGCAGGTTTCTCTGCTGCTGCTGCTGCTGCTGCGTCGGGTTGCTGAGCTGCAGCAGGAAGTCCTTCTTCCGAATCCTGCTGCTGCCTCTTTGCTTTCCGCTTCCTCCTGAGTCTGCTGCTGCGCTTAGGTGTCTCTGTCTCTTCAGCTGCATCCTCCTGAGCAGCAGCTTCGCCGCTGCTGCTGCTGCTGCCGACGCTGCTGCTGCTGCTGTCCGTCGCCTCTGCTTCTTCCTGCTGCTCCTCGCTGTCTTCCTGCTGCCTGTTTACCTTTGTCCTGCGCCTGCGCGTCCGCCTTTGCTGCTGCTGCTGCTGCTGCTGCTGCTTGCGTTCCTCCTCCTCCCGCTGCTGCTGCTGCTGCTGCTGCAGCATCTCGGCGAGGGCGTCTGCTTCCTGCTGCAGCGCCGCTGCAGTGCTGACTCTGGGGTCGGTGAGGGCCCGCAGCAGCAGCTTCAGCTGCTGCCGCAGCCAAGACAGCGGCAGCAAATTAGGACTTGCAAGCCAAATCCACTTTTTGCTGTCGCTGCCAACTGTGGGGTTTCCCCCAAGTGCTGCGCAGACCCAGAGGGCTTCTGCAGTTGTGGGGAGCGATCCCGATCCCGATCCCGATCCCAATTCCGATCCCAGGTCTTCTTCGGCGCCGGGGGCCCCCTGCTGCGTCAGCACC